CAGCCCCCAGCCCCCGACAGCTCCCCAGGTGGCCCAATCAGCGCGGCGCTTAATTGCCCCCGAGGGGATTAACCAGCGGGGACCACGGGTTTGGTTCGGCTTCGCCATGTATTTGTGGTGAGAACAACGAGCACAAAGCTTTTAGAGCAGGTGGGAGACACAGAGATACACGCGCAAGGTGGTTTTTCCCTTCATCTGCACTGGCACCGAGTTGCCTCCGACTCCGTACAATGTTGTCTCCTTCCTCCTACCCATTCGTGCTGCACTCAGCTGGGCAGCAGCCTCCTGGCATGAAGTGTTATAACTACTGGTCTGTGTCACAGTGATACTTTTTCCTTTTTTTTTTTTTCATTTATTTTTGAGGAAGCAGAAGTGTCATGGCAATAAACACATCACCTTGTACAATGGGAGCAGCTGGAAAAATGATGGAGGCTGGGCAGCTCTGCTTGCACAGCAGTGAGTGCAGCCCCAGCCTGGTTGCAAGCACAACACACATTCATGTCCCAAGGATTCACCTCCTTATCTTGCCTAAAGCGCCGTCTGGGTCGGCTCCATCTGAATGGAGTTGTGCTCTTCTGTGGTCACTGTGCCGTATGAAGTATCGGGTACCTCCTCTTCCTTCAGTTTCTTGTAGGAAATATCTGTGTCTTCCTCTTCTCCGAGCGTATCTTGCTTGTAGCTGTCTCTCCCATACATCTTGTATGCCAGCACAAAGAGTCCTGCTTCTGCCGACTGAAAAAGCGCATAAAGCAAGGGAAACATGTACATGCCCCCTATGAGCTCCGGGGGGAAGGTGAGTTTTAGGATGGCGGTGCAGAGCTGGACGTTTTGGCACCCTGTTTCCAGAGACACTGTTCTCCTGCAGTGTGGGGGCATTTTAAAGACCGTGGCTAAGCCGTATCCCAAGGCATACCCTGCTAGAGGCATCAGCACTGCAATAGCGTAGACAGACGCAGGAATGTGTACCAACAGATCTGGGCCCAGCATGGTCCCAGTCAGGATGAACAGGATCACCAGAGTCACCAAGAGGGACCACAGGGAAATCTGGCAACAGATACAGACATTGATAGCGTGAGGGTTATTAGTTTAAAAGGATAAGCGTAGCAGGTAGAGGCTTGCTAGAGTCTAAACTGCAAAACACGGTTGCGCTGCCCTTCCTGGGTTTGCTCCTGGCTTGGGATTTTGGTGGTGTTTGATCATATCCCAGGAAAGGAAGGGGCTGAGGTCACCCTCATCACTTTGCTTTGGGGTGACTTACTGGGGAACAAGAGGGCCAGGGCTTGTGCTTCACTTTTCCTTTTGTAATTAAACTGATTCGGTAGCATGTTTTAAGGAAGTGTGGCCGTGCCTGCAGGTTAGCGTCGCTAGCCCTGGGTGCAGCGGAGTGTGGAGAAAGCAGGACGCTGGGGAATGTCTCTGCCGCAGGGGCTGGGATGCCTCCAGGGGTGCAGTGCCACGCTGCCCTCCTTCCGTGCGCTACAGAGGGGATAGCCCGCCCTGTCCCTCACTTGCCATCTCTGTCCCACCGGTTTATTTCAAGACCGTAGGTCCTCGTATTCCACCTGACTAGTCGAATATGCCTGTGTGAGGCTACCATCGGTCGGAGGGGCCCAGAAAGGTCACTGCCGTCGGCCCCCCCTGCCCGGTGCCGCCCTCGAGCATCCCGCGCAGCGC